GATGAAGGTGAAAGAGGAGAGTGAAAAAGCTGGCTTAAAACTCAACATTCAAAAGACTAAGATCATGGCATCTGGTTCCACCACTTCATGGCAAATAGATGGGGAAACAGTTGAAACAGTAACAGACATTATTTTCTTGGGCTCCAAAATCACTGTAGACGGTGACTGCAGCCATGAAATTAAAAGACATTTGCTCCTTAGTAGAAAAGCTATGACCAGCCTAGACAGTGTATTAACAAGCAGAGACATCATTTTGCTGACAAAGATCCATATAGCCAAAGCTATGCTTTTTTCCTGTAGTTGTGTATAGATGTGAGAGTTGGACCGTAAAGAAGGCTGAGTGCTGAAGAATTGATGCTTTTGAACTGTGGTGCTGGAGAGGACTCTTGAGAGTCCCTTGAACTGCAAGGAGGTCAAACCAGTCAATCCTAAAGGAAATGAACCGTAAGTATTTGTTCAAAGGCCTGTTGCTGAAGCTGAAGCTCTTAATACTTTGGCCACCTGATGCAAAGAGCTGACTCACTGGAGAAGACCCCGATGCTGGGAAAGATTGAGGGCAGAAGGGGACGACAGAGGATGAGATGGTTGGATGGCATCATTGACTCAATGGACATGAGTTTGAGCAAACTCTGGGAGATGGTGAAGAACATGGGTTCACAAGTGACTGAACAACAACAAATACTCTCCCTACAGGAGAGCAAGGGTGAGTGTGGCCACCCCTCCCCTAGGTCCTGCCCAACACCGAGCCTCTTGTGTTTACACAGCATGTTTGGCGGCCTCCCTTTCCTGGGCATCTTAAGGGCACTTGAAGAAGTCACGTTACCCAGGATATGATCATCTCCTCCCTCCAGGAGGAACCAAAGAAGGAAAGTGCTCAGAGACACAGTGAGAGTGTGGCAGCGCCCTGGCTGTGGGCAGGGCTGCCCGGGGGCCTCTCTGTGGGAGTGGAGGTTGGCTTTCAGGACAGTACCTGCCTTTGTGCGCTGACTCATCTTTGCTCATCCTGGTCCCCACCCTGCTGAACACACACCAGTTCGTGACACTCCGCCTTTTAAAATCAGTGCCCTGGCTTCTTCCTCTGCATGAGGTACTTCTGTGTCTTGGTCTCACCTCTTAAATGTGAGGAGTATGCCAGGCGTTATGTGGATGTGGGCGCACCCCACGTTTTAAAACTTGAATATGAATCCATGCTTTTTAATCAGCTGATTCATAGTTAGAAAGTAACTATGGACCTGAGAAAGTCTGCACTCAGTCTTTACCTAGTGGGAAGTATCTCGTTCATTTTTTTCTTTTTTTCCTTCTTGGCCACACTGTGTAGCCTGTGGATTCCTTGTTCCCACACCAGGGATCGAACCCATGCCCCTTATTTTGGAAGTGTGGGGACTTAACCACAGGGCTGCCGGGGAAGTCCTTCTCTTTCGGAACTTGTAATTGTTGTCAGGGTTAGAAGTAGCCTTTTATCATCATCATCATCATCATTGTTATTATTATCATTTCTTTGCTGGGGCATCAGCAACCACATTCCTGTCCTTTGTACAACAGTGCTTCACCCACCAAGAACTGTTAGGAAATGAAATACCTTGCTGAGTGCCCTTACTTATTCAAATATTTCCTTTTCTGGTTGGGAAACAAAAAGGTGTTACCCACCCAGAAAGCCCATAGAAGAGAAGGAAGCGGAGTCGAGTGCAGGTGCTGGCCTGGTAGCCTGGACCTTGGCCATGAGGAAAAATGTCCCTCCTCACCCAGATGGGGACGTCCCTCAGGTCCCGCCCCAGCAGGTGTGCAGCCTGTCCTGCCCCTGCCCTCCGAGTTAGGGGCAGGAGGAAGAAGCAAATGGGTTGAGGTTCTGTGCCACCAGGAGCGCCATTCTTATCCACATAATTCTAGGACCATAGTTTGTGATCTGATGGCAACTTTCAGCTTCTGCTTCTGAGGATATTGTCCAGGGTTGTAAGATGACAACCACTTCCCCCTCTGTTCCCCACTTACTCACTGTCTGTGACTGTTCCAAGGAATGCCTCTGGGAAAGTCACTGTGTGATCAAACTCTATGGTCCCCTACAGGAAAACAGAAAACTGTTGTTCTTTTTCGCTATGGGGAACATTTAAGCTTCCCTGGGCTGGACTGGAAGCCTGTGCATCCCTGTTTGGTTTCCAGGCTCCCTGATCAGGTTCTCACCCTCTGCTAGAACTGCCCAGCCCAGCCCAGCCCTCTCTCCCAGCTTTTATTTACCCATGCGTGGGTTCTGACCTTGCCCTTGGCACTCTGGGCAGGTCAGCCTTCCCCCGCAAGCCCTGATTGCTCCCTCTCGCTCTTAGTGTTGTTTGGAATGGCCAAAAGAGCATTTGCCTCAAATCAAATGACTCACTGCCTTGCTCATAGTAACTGTCAGTCATTCTATTGGTTCCTTATCCTCTTGTAGATAGAAGTCTGGAGAACCAGCCAGTGGAACTTTTTTTGTGTGGAGGAATATTTGAAACTCCACACAAGGAGTTCTGTTGTACTGGGGAGTAACTGCCAGGAGAAGGAGGACACTGCCTTTGAGTTGGGACAGACAGTAATGTATCACTCTGCAGTGAGAGAGAGGGAAAAGACAGTTAGATTGGACACCAAGACGGACTTGGGTTGCATTGAGAAGGCATTTCTGTGGATCAGTACAAACACATCGCTGTGACATAGAGCTCCCCCATTTCTTGCCCTTTGTAGACGTTAAATAACAACTTATTAGTAGCCCTCCTGTTTTGTTCAACTGTGCCTCTATTTTTAAAGAGAAAATGAAACATTTTGGCCCCCTTTTAAGTAGATGGATATTTATTGGTGTTGAAAAGAAACACACATACTGGTTAATTACTCCAGGACCTTAGGTTTCTCTGCATAGCAAGTTTTGCAGGCGTCCAGAAAGAATATTCAAGCTGGCCAAGGAGGGAGGGCAGAGGAGTCTCCAGGAATCTTTATCTGGTTGGAAATAGACTGGGGACCTTCGATTGAGACCCGGTGAGTCATCCTGTGGCCAGTGCTTTCTGTTTTGCCACAAGAGGAAGGAGAATGGTGAGGTTTGAGGTAATTTTGTAGAACTGATGCTGCATGTGGTTCTGAGAAAGTCAAATATATCATGTAATGGTTTCCCTCTGCAAGGCAGCATGGGTGGCAAGCCTTCCCGAGCCCCTTTTTGGAGCTTGAACCCATGACGCATGCCTTTCCCACGATGGCCCCTTCCTTGGCTGGTTTTATAATAATATCTTTCCCAGAAACTCCTAGAATTTGCTGTTATCAAAGGACCCATATCTCCCGCAGAGAAAACATCATGCAGTTTTTTAAAGGGAAATTTAAAATGTTACCTGTCTTGTTTCCTTCCACCTCCCCGTTCTCTCAAAGAGCCTATTGCCTTTTCTCATCCTAGTTTTGACATTTGACAGGTGGCCTTTCTAGATACCCTTGTTCAGAATTTTTTTTCTTCTTTATTCAGACTCCCTCCTTCAAAAGGAAACTCCGCCCAAAAGTGAATTCCTGAGGAGGGAGAGTAGCCAGTCTTGTTCAGTTCAGGGCCCACCACCCTGGTCCAGCGTGTGACAAGTCCAGTAGAATGTACAGAGAACTCCAAGGGAAGAAAGAGCCTTCCAGTATCTTGTCATGTGTTATTTGTCATTATTTCATATGCATTGACTTTTTTTATTGCCTGTGAGTGTAGATTATAATGAACATCCTTCTTTGTCTAGTCTTGTCTGGCAAATTCAAAATATTACAGATCCATTTCTCATGGCACCTTCTCCAGGAAGTGGTTTCCGTCTCTCCTAGGGCAAAGGACTCTCCACCCACTCCTGGAACACCCATTTTACACATGTTTACAGATTGACTGTTGCTGACACACAAATTATGAATAATTTGATGGATATCTAGTGTCCTTCAGAAACTCCCCAAGTGCAGCCACCGTGGTGTTCCCATCTGCCCTTAATCCCAGGGCGTGGCAAATAGCCCAACACATGGGGATCCCATGGCAGAAATGCCAAAGTGATAGGAAATCCTGTCTGGTGCTCAGAGCCACTCCTGGTGTTAAGTTGTAAATCCAGTAAGCAGACAAGGGCTCTGCCTAGCCAAGGAGGCCATGGGATCAGATGAAGTTCTTCTGTCTATAGCATGTTCTGTGTTCATGTTTAGGCCATCCTGTCTATTTCCATGTATGATCAGTCATCAAAATTTAGCTTATCTTTTGAATGTGTGTGTGTATGCTCAGTCACTTCAGTTGTGTCCGACTCTTTGTGACGCTATGGACTGTAGCCCACCAGGATCCTCTGTCCATGGGATTCTCCAGGCAAGAATATTGGAGTGGGTTGCCATGCCCTTCTTCAGGAGATCTTCCTGACCCAGGGATCAAACCTGCATCTCTTATGTCTCCTGCATTGCAGGCAGATTCTTTATCCACTGAGCTACCTGGGAAGGCTGATCTTTGAATGTGGAAAGTTAATATTGCATCAACAGTGATAAGTTTATGGATGGAAAGCAATTCAGATGGCTTAAGAAATTATGACCACATGACATGACTATTGTGGGATGCATATTCTTTCCACTTCTGAGTTCTGTCATGTAATTTGCAAAACAAGTCTGGAACGTTTCTATTTCATTGCTTATTTTGCCAGTTAATTCTACAAAACAGTAAGTTTGAAGGAATTATCCAAGCCTATTGATCATTTACTGTGCCATACTCTGGATATTGCACGGTGCTTTATGTGTGGTTTTATTTAATCCTTACAGCAACTCTGTGAACTGGGTCTTATTTTTCCCATTTTTTGTTCAAGAGAGAAGCTTAAGTAACACAAAAGCTTAGATCACCTTTCCCCACTTCACTTAGGTGGCAAAGCTGAAATCTGAATCTAGATAGTAAGATATTTGTTTGCTTTGCATGTTCTTATTGGATATAAGAATATTTGGGAACTTAGTAACAATTTTTTTTCCCTCCAGGAGAAATTGAACCATCCTCATAATTGTGTGTTTTCTGTTTGCAGGGAAGCAAAGGAGCCTACAGGTACCACTGGCAGAGCCACAATGTCAAGCACAGTGGCGTGGATGACATGGTCTTGCTCTCCAAGATCACAGAGAATGCCATCGTGGAGAATCTAAAGAAGAGATACATGGACGACTACATTTTTGTATCCTTTATTGGTTCCTTTGGACGTGTCATCTTAGTAAGATGACATCTAAGTAAGAGACCATCTGAAATTCCAAACTGATGCTTATGTGTTCAAGTCATTTTCACTATTTCAGAATGTGGCTTTGTACTTTTTGCTGCTTGATTCAGGCTATGGGAAGGGCAAAGATGGTGCTAAAGTTGTTTTTCTTTTTTTAATTTATTTTTAATTGGAGGACATTTGCTTTATAATATTATGTTGGTTTCTACCACACAGAGCAACCTGAATCAGCCACAAGTGTACATATATCCCATCCCTCTTGGCTTCCTTCATGGCTCAGATGATAAAGAATCTGCCTGCAGTGCAGGAGACCGGGTTCAATCCGTCAACTTGGGAAGATCCCCTGGAGAAAGGAATGGCAGCCGACTCCAGTATTCTTGCCTGGAGAATCCCGTGGACAGAGGAGCCTGGTGGGCTCCAGTCCATGGGGTCACAGAGAGCCGGACATGACTGAGTGACTAACACACCTCCCTCTTGAACCGCCCTCTCCCCCTCCCCCCATTCTAGGTTGTCACAGAGCACTGGATTGAGCTCCCTGTGTTATATAGCAACTTCCCACTAGCTGTCTATTTTACATATGGTAATTATATGTTTCAGTGCTACGGGGCTCAAGTTTTTTCCTGGTGTTTTTAGTTTAAAGTTTCTTCCTGCCTCAAAATCATGATGCAGCCAAGGACTTCCCTGGAGATCTAGTGGTTATAACTCTGTGCTTCCACTTCAGGGAGCACAGGTTCAATCCCTGGTCAGGGAACTCAGATCCTAAACGCCACACTGTGTAGGGAAAACAAAAAGATGAAGCCAATGTTCTCTATTTCAGTCCATGGCACTGAACCTTTGATGTGCTCTAGCTACACACGTGGTGTCTAAAACCTGTGCTCTTCCTAAAGAATGTCCTGATCTGCAGAATTCTATCAGTAATGTTCCCTAATTGCAAAGCAGAGACTGATAAGTCCAGACTTAAAAGGTTTAAAAAAGATTGCCTCATGCAAAATAGATGCCATTTTGCCTGTTTTTCTGCATTCTTATGTTTACTAAAAGAAATAAGAGAAACGAAGATCAATTACTGAAAATGTCTGACATTCTTGAGTTGTGCTTTATGTTTCAGTCTTAGCTTGCCAGATGCCATTTTGGGTAGGACTGGAAAACATTCAGAACGGAAATTTGATTCAAATGTGTGTTGACTTCATTATAAACTTCATAGAGAGCTATGATAGTTGCTTAAGTTCCTACAGGATTCAGGAGTTCTGTTTGGTGCAACTATGTAAAGTTATTTTATTATAATTATTGTAGAATTGGTCATAGACAAGCAGGAGTCTGTGAAAATCTGTATAGTAGTACCAGAAGGTTTATGTTCTCGGTGGCTCTTGGTGGTGATGCCGTTGGTGGCTTCTGAGGGTGTGGTGTTCTGGATGGCCATTAAAAGTGGAGTCTTTGCAACCACTGTAACATACCTTTTTAGGTTGTAACCTCTAAACCTTGGGGAGGTAAAGTCTTCACATCCATAGCTTCTGTGTATTATTTACACCGCTCCTCTTACTCTTAGATAAAAGCATCTATAAACATGTAGCAGTAGTTTTGCATCATTTCCATCATTGATGAGGAAGGAGCTCAACTTACCAGGTATTTATGCTAATAAACATTCCAAGGTACTTGGATGTTTCTAACCAATACTGTGCTGTTTCTTGTTTACCATAGGAAATTTTACCAATTATCTGGGTAGTTAAATCCCTAAACCCCTGCTTTTAAGTTTTAATAGATATATTTGGATTCATTAAGCACATTATAACAGCATCTTGATCAGGTGTGGAAGCCCACTGCCTACAGAGAAAACCCCACCCACCACAGGATTTTATTGGAATGCAGCCATGCTGGTTGTTTTACTTGTTTTAAAGTGTTGTCTGACACTGCTTTTATGCTACAGTGGCAGACTTGAGTATTTGCAACAGACCCTGTGATCCACAAAGCCTGAACTAATTATTCTCCGATCCTTTACAGGGAACATTTGCTGATTCCTAGATACCTGTGCAGAGCTTCCTTTAATTGTATGGAAACAGTTGTATACAGTTATAAGTTTTCGTTTTATTTGGCAAAAAAGTTGAATTATGCTCACTTTATCTAGGCTTATCATTGAAAGGTTTTAATAACTTTTGTGTGCAAGACCCATGGAAACTGGCCAATGATGGACCAGAGAAAGTTGGGATGAATCTGGACAGCCTGGCTTTGAGCCTTAATCTGCATGAGCTTGGTGATCTTATACAAGTTTTGTGATCTGTATTCCTTGATTTCCTGACCTGTAAAATGGAAGTGATGATAAAAACTCCTACATGAGGCTGTTTAGGGTGAAATGAAATAACAAATGCAGTGAATACATGGTTAGTGTTAGTTATTATTATCATACATTAAGGCAAGTGTACGAGTTCTCTCATATTTCTGAATTATGTTCCAAAAACTCATTTATAAAGTTGCTCTTGGACATTCAGATTCATTTTACCATAGAAACTTTTATTTTTATTTTTTTTCCATTTATTTTTATTCGTTGGAGGCTAATTACTTTACAGCATTTTACCATAGAAGCTTTTAAAGGGAGGATTGGTTTATTGACAAGTCCATAAAAGGCTAATTTCCAATGAATGTAATTGAACTCATTATTTATTGGAATGTTCTTAGAACATGGGCTCATTATTTATGTAGACATGGTTTTTGATCAGCTGGGTAAGAAAAGAAAAAAATGTCAGTGGTTATCAACAGCTGTCCATCATCAACCCAGACAGACTCACTTTTCCCCCTATGGTCATTTACCCCTAAAACACTAGAAATTCCTTAAGAACAGGGATTGTGTCCTTTACATATCTTTTTAAAAGTGAAGTTTAAAAATAACTTTAAAGCAATAAATGTTCATTTAACATGATCTACAAAATGCAGTTAACTAGAAAGAACACTAAAATCCCTTGGAATCCCACCATATAAAGTTTGCTCCTAGTAACCTAATATATTTTTCAGTTTAATCACATATAGACATATATGTATGGGCTCCCCTGGTGAACTAAACAACAACAAGAAGACATGTATATACATGCATGTGCCTTCTTACCAATTTTAGCTAAACAATGGCACCATCCTGCATTGTTTATTTCTTTTCCACAAAATTCTTGGCATGGTGTATTATATTAAGTGTTTGTTGAAAATCTGTTGACTATGAAGTCTTGCTTTTTATATTCAGACAACAGAATTCTAAAATGACTCACACAGAGGGGGCTGATTTCTTTGAATTAATGTCTTTGAATCAATGACTGACTAATCATGTGTTCTACCAAGGAAATGAGTTAGTTGACCACTAATAGACTTTGTGTTGTAGAAATCTCTGCCCACTCAGTATATGAGAAATTCGACATCAGTGTGCTTTCCGGCAATAGCACAGAGCAGCTTTCAGCTTTGAGGAAGCTTGGTGGCTCTTTTGGATGTTTATGAAATAATACCAAGGGTCTCACTGCGAATCTTTTCCTCTAAATAGGAGATAAGAGCCTCCTTTATCAGTTCAATGCCAAGGGAATATTATTATGATAGGATCGCATTAGTATTGTAAATGAGTTTCCCCTGCCTCTCTTCTAAGCTCAGTAGTGAAGACGAGAAGATTAAGATTAAGTTATAATATTGTTCATTTGACCTCTTCTGCATCTAATAGCAGCGCATTGTCTTGTGCTGAAGGTCAGCCTTTGGAACAATCACATTCAGGCTGACTGCACATTTCTTTGTTCCACAGTGGGAAAAAAAATCTGCTTAGAAAATGCAAACGTTGTCAACCAAGGAAAACCCATTTTTTTCAGTTATTTATCCTAGGACTAGGAAGGTTTCATTTCCTGTCTATTTTTCCGAAGTGTTGCCACCCTTACAATTTCAGTTCTAAAATATAGGAAGGACCTTGCTGTGTTCGCCCTCTGCTTGGTGAGACATCACTTACAGCCACTTGGCTGACAAAAATAGTTCTTGAACAAAGCACCATGGCCTCATTGGTTCCAACTTTCTCCAAACTTGTTTTTCCTCAAAGACCACACTCAAGTGTGCTTGGCGTTTTCAACCCAACAATTAGGAGTTGAGACACTTGTGCCAGACCAACCAGAGCTCAAAGCAGTGCCCTTGTTCCAAATGAGGTTTGGCTCTTTGCTGCCAGTTCATGTTGGGGTTGGGGGGGATGTTGCTGCAGTGAGATGAATGTGGGTCTGATGGCCAAAGCCAGGGGCTCAAGTTCCATCATTTCCATATATGTGACTTCACACATCACCTCACCTCCCTGCCCCACCTCAGTGATGAATCCAGGGAGGTTGACTAGATCAGTGTGGACAGTTAGAGGGAATACTGGCTATTAAAATGTTTTTTAAAAATGTTAAACTCTTGTTACAAAACGGAAAGAGACTCAGAGACTTGGAAAACAAATTTATGGTTGCCAGGGGGAAGGGATAGTTAGAGAGTTTGGGAAGGTCATGCACACACTCCTATATTCAAAATGAATAGCCAACAAGGACCTGTTGTATGGCACATGGAACTCATAACTCATGGAACATAACTCAGTGTTATGGGCCAGCCTAGATAGGAGGGGAGCTTGGGGGAGAATTGATACATGTGTATGTATGGCTGAGTCCCTTCATTGTTTACCTGAAATTACCACAACATTGTTAATCGGCTATACCCCAAAACAAAATAAAAAGTTTAAAGTTTAAAAAATAAAATAGAGTATGAGCTATTTAAAATATAAAAAAAGTTAAAACTTTTCCTTATAAGACCATTAAAAAGATTTATAGACGCTGCGCTACCATCACATTTCATAAAAGAAAGAATATTTTAACACCCCCAAAATAGAAAGGAAATAGTTTAAGAGTAAAGGATGGCCCTTTATACTGAAAAAATTGGACTTTATGAAAAATTGAGGGCTCTGTTTCTCTTTTTGTCATTCTTTTGCAGATCAATGAAAGCTTATGGATCCACGGACAAACATTTGGGAGCCAGTCAGTTAAAGATCTATTGGCTCTCTTCTGTCTTGCATATTCTGTTGGCAATCATAAAATGGCATTTATTTTATGTCTTTTTTAAAAATCATAGCCTTGTGTATCTCCATACAATTTGAAAGTTAGCCTTGGGCCACACCTTTCTAGCCAAAAGTTATGTGGGTGGAGACAGTGATGGAACAGCTTTTTCCAAAGGCACACCTGAATTATGCAGCAAGGAGTGGGAGTGAGTATTGGAGTTATCTGGAAAGTGGCCCAACCCAGGAGAAGACCGGTGCTCTCTTGAAAGTAGCTGAGGTATCTGCAGACCCAGGCAGGTGGGAAAAATACGTTTGTTTCCTTTAAATTCCAAATAAAATTCTCTTTTGTCTCCATTCTGATTTAAGTAAATTTGTAGCTACTTAGCGTAGATAGAAGATACATTATCCATTTCAAACCAAACTTTGCTTTTCAGAAGTCCCCCCTCAAATAATACTTCCCATGAGAAGTCCTACTGAGATCCTTCTTCCAGTCTGACTCACGACTGATACATGATTGGCCTAGAATACTCCGAAAGAAATTTTTTTTTCTCTGAACATCTCCTTGTCAGAATTTATATAGACTACTTAGTGAAAATCAAGACTTCGTCTTTTCATATAGCAACATAGCAGATTATTAACAGTAAAAAAAAAAAATGTTGCCTCCTATAGGAGTTCTTATGTTAACCCAATCCAGACTTATTTACTGGAGAACCAAGGTTGGGTTCAGTTCAGTTCAGTCTCTCAGTTGTGACTGAGTCACTCCGACTCTTTGCAACCCCACAGACTGCAGCATGCCAGGCCTCCCTGTCCATACCAACTCCCGGAGTTTACTCAAACTCAATGTCCATTGAGTTGGTGATGCCATCTAACCATCTCATCCTCTGTCGTCCCCCTCTCCTGTCGCCTTCAATCTTTCCCAGCATCGGGGTCTTTTCAAACGAGTCAGCTCTTTGCATCAGGTGGCCAAAGTATTGAAGTTTTAGTTTCAGCATCAGTCCTTCCAATGAACATTCAGAACTGATCTCCTTTAGGATGGACTGGTTGGATCTCCTTGTAGTCCAAGGGACTCTCAAGAGTCTTTTCCAACACCACAGTTCAAAAGCATCAGTTCTTCAGCACTCAGCTTTCCTTATAGTCCAACTCTCACATCCATACGCGACTACTAGAAAAACCATAGCCTTGACTAGACAGACCTTTGTTGGCAAAGTAATGTCTCTGCTTTTTAATATGCTATCTAGGTTGGTCATAACTTTTCTTCCAAGGAGCAAGCATCTTTTCATTTCATGGCTGAAGTCACCATCTGCAGCAATTTTGGAACCCCCCCCCCCCAAAAAAAATAAAGTCTGCCACTGTTTTCCACTGTTTCTCCATCTGTTTGCCATGAAGTGATGGAACCGGATGCCATGATCTTTGTTTTCCGAATGTTGAGCTTTAAGCCAACTTTTCATTCTCCTCTTTCACTTTCATCAAGAGGCTCTTTAGTTCTTCTTCACTTTCTGCCATAAGGGTGGTGTCATCTGCATATCTGAGGTTATTGATATTTCTCCCAGCAATCTCACTTCCAGCTTGTGCTTCATCCAGCCCAACGTTTCTCATGATGTACTCTGCACATAAGGTAAATCAGCAGGGTGACAATATACAGCCTTGACGTACTCCTTTTCCTATTTGGAACCAGTCTGTTGTTTCAGTCCAGTTCTAACTGTTGCTTTCTGACCTGTGTACAGGTTTCTCAAGAGGCAGGTCAGGTGGTTTGGTATGCCCATCTCTTTCAGAATTTTCCACAGTTTATTGTGATCCACACAGTCAAAGGCTTTGGCATAGTCAATAAAGCAGAAATAGATGTTTTTCTGGAACTCTGTTGCTTTTTTGATATTCCATCGGATGTTGGCAATTTGATCTCTGATTCCTCTGTGTTTTCTAAAACTAACTTGAACATCTGGAAGTTCACAGTTCACATATTGCTGAAGCCTGGCTTGGAGAATTTTGAGTATTACTTTACTAGCGTGTGAGATGAGTGCAATTGTGCAGTAGTTTGAGCATCCTTTGGCATTGCCTTTCCTAGTGATTGGAATGAAAACTGATCTTTTCCAGTCCTGTGGCCACTGCTGAGTTTTCCAAATTTGCTTCTATAGCTCAGGTCCTCTAGGAACTCTTTTTTTTTTTCAAGATTTTTTTTTTTTTTGATGTAGGCTATTTTTAAAGTGTTTATTGAATTTGTTATAATAGTGCTTTTGTTTAATGTGTTGGTTTTTTTGGCCATAAGGCATGTGGGTTCTTAATTCCCTAACCAGGGATGGAAACCTGCACCCACTGCATTGGAAGGCAAAGTCTTAATCACTGGACCATCAAGAAAGTCTCCTCTCTGTTGTTCAGTCACTAAGTTGTGTCCGACTCTTTACGACCCCATGGACTGCAGCATATCAGGCTTCCGAGTCTTTCACTATCTCCTGATGTTTGTTCAAAGTCATGTCCACTGAGTCAGCGATGCCATCCAACCATCTCAACCTCTGTTGCCCCTTCTCTTCTGTCCTCAATCTTTCCCAGCATCAGGGTCTTTTCCAATGAGTACACTCTTGCCAGTCCCCCTCTGGCAGCTCTTTATTCTCTGAATGCAGTGATCAGTTCATTCAGGTGGCATTCATAGTAGTCCCTTTACAGCTAAGGAAGAAGCACCCATTCTCCAGATGTAGGCGTAGACATTGCCTTCTTATGAAATGAATGTGATCATAGCAATGCTGTATTTTCTGAATATTGAAGATTTCTCATGCCTCAGTTTCCTCCTAGTAAAATAGGATTAAAATAGTATCAAGGTTGTCATCGATGTGATCTATACATGTATGTGTTCGATCAGTGTTTGTTTTTATCAACAGTTGTTGAGTTTTGGCTGTAACACCACGCACACTTATGACCTGCTTACTAAATCTAACAATAAATCTGTTCTAAATCTTACCTCAAAAAAAGTCGGCTTCTAATCTGTTGTTGGCCTCCTCTGACTTTGGCACTTGGAACCATGTTTTCTCTTGGCCCTTCTTCCATGATTCTGGAGTGATTTTCAGTTACGATTCACTGCCTCATCTGCGTTTTCTTTCAGTACCATGGTCTGCCCCTGCGCCTGAGCAGTGCAGGGTGCATCTGGAAGTGCTGTGAAAAGGGACCTATCTTCTCTACTGCTACTGGGTTGGCTGAACGAACTTTTTGGCCAACGCAGTATTTCACGCGAAGAGTCAGACACGACTGAGCGACTGAACTGAACTGAGTATTTCACGTTCAGCCCTTTTGAGTCTGAAAATCTTTCTGTTTAGTGAAAAAGCAAGCAAGATTGCAGCCAAATCATTCCCTGTTCTCCCCTTCGTGTATCAATATAATTTTTTAGATACTATATGATCCATTCCACACTTGACTCCTTTGTATTCAATAACACTAACACTGCTTCTCAGAGGTGACACGGTGAGCATTTTGAAGTATATGGATTGAGGGAACTGCCTCTGCTACATATCAGACATTGTACTGAGCATATGATACTGCATGGCTTAATTCTCATAACAAAACCTATCAGGTAGGTTCTGTTTACCCCATCATCCAATCACCACCACGAAGAGATGAGACTTGCCCAAGGCCAGAGTAAAATAGAACTGGGCATAGGGAGCTTGGTAATCTGATCACACTTTCCTGTGTTGCTCTATTTGACACTCAGGTCCTAATATATAAATGTCCCCTTGGGGAAGGAAATCTCGCAGCTTTCAGAGATCGAACCTGTGTCCCCTGCATTGCGAGGCAGAGTCTAAACCGCTGGACCACCAGGGAAGTCCTAGCTTTACATTCTTAACTGCAAAATTTCTAAACATTTTGAAGTCATTGATTAAAAGAAACAATTTTGAGTATTGTGTATGTTTTGTTTTTTGTTGATGTTTGCATTTTTTAATGATATTTTTACATCTGTTCTGTTTTGTCCACTGCTGTATATCCCCAGCATATGTAACAGTGCCTGGCAAGTTGTAGACATCTAATTTGAACTAATTGATTATTGAATGATAAATAGAAATATTTTGTATGTTATAATAGCACTTCATTTTGGGGACATAAGTAACACATTTTCTTCTGAGGGGCCTTCCAGAATTTCCCATACATAAATAACACCTTCTTCCCCAAACCTGATCTATGCTCAGATGCTCAGTTGTGTCCGATTCTTGGAGTCTTCCATGGACTGTAGTCCATCAGATGTCTCTGTCCTTGGAAGTTTCTAGGCAAGAATACTGGAGTGGGTTGCCATTTCCTTCTCCACAACCTGATCTATATGCATTTGTAATTTTCTGCTCTGAATTCTACTTATGGATACAACTCAGTTCTCCATGGCTTCTAAAGAGCAGGACTGTTCAGTTCATCTTATATCCCTCTGTTTATTAAACAAGTAAATGAATATGTTCTCAGTATACCTAAGAGATACCAAGGAAAAAATATTTGTTCTTTTTAGTCCTTGATCTTTTGGTTTTTTACCCTAGCCATGCATGTCACCAGTCTTGAGAGAATGTGTTTCAATTCACTTAAAGTAATGATTTATTTTTGTAATACCTTGGTAATTAAGTTCGTTACTCTTCCTGAAGAACAAAACCTGAACTACTTGGTAACTGCTTTTGTCTTTATTTGTAATCTTTTAGAAAACAAACCTATGAGCTTTTCATTGGGACAATCATGAATTCTTGATAACATCTGGTTGCTTAATTTGAAAAATGTGTAGCTGTGAAGATTAATGATAGACCTTAACTGGATTTAAATTCAGACATATATAGGATCCGTATTAATCTCAGTCAACCCTTTCAAGCAGATGCCATATTTTGGGGAAAAGGAAATTGAAATGTACCAAGGAGCGGTAAGTTACATGCCACATAAAATTACTGTAGTGTTTGGGGGTTTTTATGATGTATGGGCAATTGAAGTTGGCAATACATTTGCATTTTCTTTTATAAATTTATTGGGAAAGCTTAAATAGGTTACATTGTTTGATTTTTTTAATAATGTGCTGCTCTTTAGAGTACAGCTCAAAAAAAGCTTAGGACTATTAATATTGGAATGTTATATACAATATTAGTTTAATGGAATGTAGGACTTACAGCTTCAGGCATCTTCCTCCTTCAATATATGTCACAAAACTCTAAAGAGTAAAAAATTAAGTAATCGGTAAAAAAAAATAAATTGGGCGATGGGAACCATTCTCTCCAAATCACTGAAACCGTGGCTGTGACTGGAACATGAAAAGCAAATCTTTTTTAATTTCACTTATTAATGTGACACCCTCATCCCTATTCAGACCCAGCTCCATAGCCATTTCAGTTGTGACATAAAAATAGAATCTGTAATCCTAATTTGTATATTTCATTCTCTGGCTCCTCACTTCCCCAGGCCTCCCCATCTCTACATCTTTTTCCTTCCCTCTTCCCTTTGCAGCAGAAGCACAAGAGCATTCATTAATCCTGACCCCTGGAAAACAAACAAAAGGGAGCCCACACAAATTCATCAGTTGAAGTGGAAGGCAATTTACCCAGAGCAAGAGCCCACCCCATTGTTGCCAGATGAATGGTGCTGGTAGCTGGAGCTGAAGGAGGCTGCCACGCGAAAGACCTTTGATAATGCTGCCTTTATGGGAGCCCAGCACAAGGGAAACACTGTCAGCAGAGCCTGGCCCTGCCCTGGCGCCCTGATCAGCAGGGCCCGGGGCCGCCAGCATGGAGCTGGCTTGGAGTCCGCAGCGACGGCCTAGGCAGGGTGGATGGAAGCGCTGTGTATTCCTGCTGTTTCTTTCCAGTGCTCTGAAAAGCGTTCTTACATGAGTCCCTTTTAGACCGTTCATCTTTTGAAGAGTTCTTTTTAAAGAAATGCCCTAGAATTAAAAAAAAAATACATTTATTTTTAACTGCTGATGGCAATAGACTGTTGTAAATTGGTATTTACTTGGTGCCAGGTACTATGTTTATATTTGCAACAATAATAAAGCAGCCCTGGATGCTGGCTGTGTATTACGATGCATGTCTGTTTCATAGATGAGGAAACACAGGCTCATAGAGGTGAAGTAATTGAATCTATTGAGTGTTGGAGCTAGAAATTGAGGTCAGGTCTCAGTGACTTTCAGGGGTTTCAGGCAAGGGCAGAATCAGGTAGAGGAAATGTCTACCCTACCGTTCTTATCATGCGTGCTCAGTCGTGTCTGGCTCTTTGCGACCCTATGGACCGTAGCCCACCAGGCTCCTCTGTCCAAGGGATTCTCCAGGCAAGAATACTGGAGTGGGTTGCCATGCCTTCCTCCAGGGGTAATTCTCATCAGTAGCTGAAAAATACCATGAGCCCAGAGATGAGAAACCAGTTGGAAAAATAGAGTGATGCATAGTGGTCAAGTATAACTAGTTAAGTGGCTTTGAGGCCTTACTGGACAATGACTTGCCCACTCCTTTCCCTCCACTGCTCACAGCTTTCACTCCATGTTATTTCCAATTTTTGTTTTTATTTTTGGCTATGCCGTGTGGCATGTGAGGTCTTAGTTCCCTGACCAGGCATTGAACCCGTGTCCCTGGCAGTGAATGCATAGAGTCTTAACCACTGGACTGGCAGGGAATTCCCTTGTTCTCTTTTCTTTTCCTCTATTTCCAGAGAAGTGTTAAATGTAATCGTGAATGAACATCTTGCAGTCCCATCCATGCATCCCCTTGACTGTGAAGTGAAGTCAGGAATGACATATTTTTGTTACTATATAGAATTATCCAGTTCATCAGTCCTAGGGAATGAGTTTTAGACCTCGCTGAGCAGTTTCCCTCCTGGGACCCCTACTCACACATGGGGAGCCGTGGGCACTGGATACATCAGTGCTTAACTTGGGTGCAGACATCAAAGCAGTCATCCCTCCTCGTCACTCAGCTCTGATCCGCCAGAGCTTGCGATGAGTGGCCATTTCTGGGGCAGGCCCCGTATGATATAGTAAGTTGTTGCATTAATAAGACTCAAAGTTGGGATGCAATACATTCTACTTTAGCTATGTGTTTCACTAACCTTTTCTAATTACTTTCTCATGTGTCATCTCAGTGGCCTTGTGAGATGTGGATACCATGGACCTTGTTATCCCCACTCTAGAGATGGAGACCAGAGAAGGGAAGGACAGAGTCTAAATGTCTTCTCACTCTGGATGTGACTTTCTTCTCACTCTTCTGTGTTACATAGTCTTAAATTTAAGGAGTGTTCTTTCTCCAGCTTTCCACCATATGAAGTATTTTTCTTTTTAGTGACTTTGGTGGGAGTGGTAGAAGTGGTGCCAAGAAACTAAAGAAAGCAGGGCTGAAGTCGTCCTGACACAGTGAATTTACTGGTGGATTTATATTATGCATAGCTCAGATATCCCATGAGACTCAAGTACAAATCCACTCTCTTGGTGTGGTAGGAATTGCTGTTTTTCCATGTTGAGATGGAACAAACTGGTCAAACCTGTTTATCCCTCTAAAGAACCACACCTCCTGCCTTCTTCTTATGGAAAATAAGTTTTTTTCCTTATTTTCTAATAGTCTCAGTTTCCTCTAGGGTCCCAAGATCTCCAACTTGCCTCTTAGGGAAAAAAAAATAATGTAGAATTTCTGATTTAGTACAAGTCAGATCCAGGTTTTTAGTAGGCCTCTCTTAAGACCTGTTGCCCAGCTGCCTTTCAGAGACCTTTAGAAAGGGAATGTGGCCTGCAGAGGCATGCTGCGGGTAGAAGGGCGTGGTGTTGGAGTACCTGAAGACCATGGGTCATGTCTGAAGGCTGAATCACTCATAGGCCTGCAGAACAGTCCTTCCAAATTCCTTCCATCTTCATTGTGTTAGGTGTTCCTCCTCAGGACCTTGGCAACTTTATGATTCTTGTATTACACAGCCTTTAAGATGGGGACTATACAGTGGCATGTTCATTTCCAAAGCCAAGAAAAGAAATGTGTTGCTTTTATCTGACCATGGTTTTGTTTTGTTTTGCTTTTCTAGGCACAGTATGAGAACCCACCACATATCTATGCTCTTGCAGATAATATGTTCAGAAATATGATAATTGACAGAGAGAACCAATGTGTCATCATCAGGTATGGAAAAGAACATTTTTAGGTCCAGGGAACACAGGACCATGCTATACATAGGATGCTGTCAAGGAGCAATGCTTCTGCAATAGTTTCTCATTTCAGAGGCTGGTTAATGTATCTGAGTAGCAAGTAGCCTATTAGCTTTGCCTTGGTGTATTTTATAACCTCAAATCATAAAGCTCTGCGCTTCCATGAGGTTGCTTTTTGTACCCATGTCACTTGAAGCATTAAGGCTTTAGGGCACATGGTTCTAGCTCAGTCTTTCTCTGATTGTCATCAGGCCCGGAAATAAAATCTCAAGACACCTCCCCTCCCATTTTGGATTGTATTGTGGTTTTACTCTGAATTGGAGATCCTTTATGTTACGAGTATAGTAAGCATGTGTTACTGTTTTGTCAGCTGGAGTCCTTTTTTCTAGGTCCTTTTTCCTTAATATTTCAAGTTTGAACTTTTTTGGGTTTTTTTGTTGTTGTTATTTAATTTTCTGAAGGCATTACTGGTCAAAGCCAGCATTAGGCGTCCACAGCTATATTTCGCAATCCTTTTAACCTGACCCAGCTCTGAGTCTTTGCTGGCTTGAAGCGCTTTTACAATTTTGTTTACTGTTACAAACATTTTCAAACATACAGAAAACACAAGCAATCCATATTTCCATCACTTAGAACTTGACAGTTATTAACTGTCATCTTTGTTATTTTTGTTCATCTTTTTTAGTGCTTTAATTTTTTAATGAAAATTAAAGGAAAAAATCCTATTTGTATTTACAAGCATACACAAAATTACAAAAAGTATTATAATAGGCCCTGTGTATCTGTCATCTACTTTGTACATTTATTAATATATGGCCAACCCTGTTTTACCTAGTCCTCCCACTCTGCCCCCACTTGATTCAATCCTAGGCAGAAAATAATTTCATTTGTCAATAATTCAGTGTATACCTCTAAAAGACCATTCTTATCACAACTGAAAAAAAATGAGTAATTCCTTCAGTATGATCTAATATTATCGGTATTCCAATTCCACAATTGTATTATAAATTCTTTTTTTTTTTTACAGTTGATTTATTTTTATTTGGGTTTCAAAGGCTCATGTTTCATATTTAGCTGTGTGTCTCTCAGGTCTTTTAATTGTTAATAGTTCTCTCTTATTCTTTTTGTTTTCTTGGTGTTTATTTGTTAAAGAAAAAGTTTTGTCCTGTAGAATTTTCTGCAGTCTGATAATAGCTAGTTGCATCCCATGACTTTGCGCTGTCCCCTATATTTCCTGTAAATTGACAGGCTTTGAAAGCTTGATTAGATTCATTCAATTTTTTAGCCGAAAATGCTCCATCATTGATGCCTTGCCCTTAATGCCTGTTTGGCTAACTTTTTGTGATGTTCAGATTTCCAGTGAGTCCATCCATTATAAATTCTCATTTCACAATCATTTAATTAACAGTTGAAAAATAATTTTCTAATTGTATTCCTTCTATATTAATTTATTAATTAGAGTTTTCCTTCATTTATCATAAAATACAATCTAAATGGGAAAATTGGATAAAAAGCTTCATTTGTTATTTTCATTTACTAATTTTTGAAGCAGTAAGTTGATGCCCTAGCAGCCTCCCGAAGTATAATGTTTTTGTTTTCAGTATCATTCTATACTGGTGGGTTTTAAATACCTTACCTGTTTAACTACATTGCAGTTTTTCTTTTAGGTTGAAATAGTCCCACCTTTGGTTTGTGAGAGTCCTTTGTATTGGCTTCTTTGTCCCTTTGATATGACTCCAGTAGTCTTTGATAGTTTTCTTGTATAAGATGTTCCAGGCTTATCTTGTACATTTTCTGCCAAGCCTTAGGTTCAGCCATTTCATCAGAAAGCCCTGGCTCATTTTAATGGGAAATAGTATTTAGAGACTATCAATCTAGTGATGAAGAGTGCTCACTGCTCTGTGTTAATGGTGCTTCTTGTTCTTTTCAGAGGACAAAAGCGAGGAATATGAACTTTTTAAGAGAAATATGAAACATCAGTTCACACTGATAATGTTCAGTTCATTTGTAAGATTTTATTTCTTTGCATTTTATATTTGAATGCCATTTCTCTTATTCTGAAAACCTTGGTTCCTGATGACATCATTAAAATTATTTGCGCTATACTATGCCTGTGCATAAAATTATAAATAAATAATTAAGTATATACTTATACTTAAATAAGTATATATTTATAAAAGATATATTGCATAGTAAATAATGGGGTAGAGCAAATAAATAATTCTATTAATGCTTTAAGATAACAATACCAACATTATTTGTAGCAATACTATTTCACTTTACAATTTCTTTGTTCTTTTTTGTCCTTAGGATGTACAGTCAAAATATTGGATTTTAAAAGTGACTTGACATAATACTTTTCTGTGTCATTAACATGCCAATTTGACCTACAGTTAAGTTCATGTATTTCATTTTGGATTTTGGAAGTTTAAATTTTTTATTTTAATTTTGTTTTAAAACTGTTTAAACTATTTACATGGCTCCAGTGTCAGAACTATAAAACAGGAACACTGAGGCATTTTAAGATATAAACTTCATATTTTATCTCCAAATATTTCCATATACATCTCAAAATATTTTCTAACTTAGTCCCAATACCATTATCACAACTAAATAATAAATAAGTAACCCACATTTAAATTTCTCTAATTGTTGCACACATGTCCTTTCTTGCCGGTTTATGTTAATCAAGGAACAATGGCTGCATTTGGTAATGAGTCACTTTTTTAATCTTACCAGAGTTCCTGTCTCCAATTTTTTTTGTTTTTTTCCCATTGACTTGGTCAAGAGAAGAAAACCCAGTTTTCTTATAGACACCTTTCAGATTGGTCCAGTTGCTTCCTCATGGTCTCATTTCTCTAATTCCTTCAGTTTTCTGTAAATTGAAAGTGAGAACTAAATTCTTAATTAGCTTCAGGTTAAGCCTTTTGGAAGGAACACTTGTGTGTTGATGAGTTTGGTTGCTGAATTGGAAATGCTTCTGTTTGTTCCCAAGTGGAAGTCACTGGCCAGTAGAGTGGTGGGACATGTTTTCATGACTCAAATCAAATGAGAGAGGATAGGATGACTTTGCTAACATATTCCCTTGCCCTTTCTCCTTTCTTCTGGGCCCTTAGTAAGATGAGAAGAAAGGGAATGGTCTTGTTGCATGGGTTTCATCAGTTTGGAGCCTCTTCCATTTTTCCTAGTCCACCTTTCTCCTTCTCTCGGATTTCCTCAGTAGGTCCTGCAGAAGACACTTGCTCTGAGGCAGGATATGTGCCCACTTCTAGGAGCCTTCTTTTCAGTGTTCAGGTGGCAAAGACTTGAAGGCCCTGTTCCAGGGAATTCTACTGCAGTCTCTTTGCTGGTGGAGATACAGGAGATGGTAGGACAGGGAGTTGCTTTGACCTCTGATATTAACCACCAAGTCAGGCCAGACTTCACATGTGAAAGGCACAATTCTCCATGAGACACCAGCTGCATGTCGGAAAGTTCCCACCACTGCCTTGGTTTCATTACTGCAACAACTCACAAAAGTCAAGAGAGCCCTGAACTTATGGTTACAGTTTTATTAGAGCAAAAGGATACAAAGCAGAACCAGGAAAAAGTAGAGACATAAGGGCAAAGTCTAGGAGGGGCCCAGATATGCGGCTTCCAGGCCTCTTCCCCCCATGGAGCCATCGACAGTGTTATGTCCTTCCAGTTATGGTATGGGAACTGACAATACTATTGCCAACTAGAAAGTTCACCTGAGCCTTTGGTGTTCAGAGGTTTTATTTGGGCTCAGTCATATACTGTCTGAATGACTGACCTGTAGCCACCACCCCTCCTGAAGATGTGGGCTAATATGTGTAGTCTCCATGTCCTCCAGGAGTCAGAACTTAGATGCACCTATCCAAAGCTCTTTTCATAAAACTGTTCAGTTCCCAAATATCCTAGGCAAATAGAGACTCTCCTGTCAGGACGGATGTTCCCGTTCAGCTCAGTTCAGTCACTCAGTCATGTCCGACTCTTTGTGACCCCATGAACCGCAGCACGCCAGGCCCATCACCAACTCCCGGAGTCCACCCAAACCCATGTCCATTGAGTTGGTGATGCCATCCAAACATCTCATCCTCTGTCATCCCCCTCTCCTCCTGCCCTCAATCTTTCCCAGCATCAGGGTCTTTTTCAATGAGTCAGCTCTTTGCATCAGGTGGCCAAAGTATTGGAGTTTCAGCTTCAACATCAGTCCTTCCAATGAACACCCAGGACTGATCTCCTTCAGGATGGACTGGTTGGATCTCCTCACAGTCCAAGGGACTCTCAAGAGTCTTCTCCAACAGCACAGTTCAAAAGCATCAATTTTTCGGCGCTCAGCTTTCTTTATAGTCCAACTCTCACATCTATACATGGCCACCGGAAAACCCATAGCCTTGACTAGATGAACCTCTGTTGGCAAAGTAATGTCTCTGCTTTTTAATATGCTATCTAGGTTGGTCATAACTTTTCTTCCAAGGAGTAAATGTCTTTTAATTTCATGGCTGCAGTCACCATCTGCAGTGATTTTGGAGCCCAGAAAAATAAAGTCAGCCACTGTTTTCCCATCTATTTGCCATGAAGTGATGGGACCGGATGCCATGATCTTAGTTTTCTGAATGTTGAGCTTTAAGCCAACTTTTCACTCTCCTCTTTCACTTTCATCAAGAGACTCTTTAGTTCTTCTTTGCTTTTTGCCATAAGGGTGGTGTCATCTGCATATCTGAGGTTATTGATATTTCTCCCAGCAATCTTGATTCCAGCTTGTGCTTCATCCAGCCCAGCGTTTCTCATGATGTACTCTGCATATCAGTTAAATCAGCAGGGTGACAATATACAGCCTTGACATACTCCTTTTCCTATTTGGAACCAGTCTGTTGTTCCATGTCCACTTCTAACTGTTGCTTCCTGACCTGCATACAGATTTCTCAAGAGGCAGGTCAGGTGGTCTGGTATTCCCATCTCTTTCAGAAT